TAATTTAGGGATATACAAAACATAATTGGATTGAAATGAACATTGGTCATCCCGCTATCTATGGACCAATGGTATTGTACCCAACTTCCTGTTTATTTGTAGTCTTAAAATAAATCAGGGAATTCAAAAATAATACTTTTCGAATATTGAATTTGTGAAGATGGAGAGACATATTTTGAGCATAAGCAGCAGCTTCCTGATTGGACGTACTGAATTAATTTCCTTGATAGACAACTGAGGCCCCTCCCCATTGGTCTAACTATTCTCCTCCAGCAAATCTTACAGGTTGAGGTTCATTGGCTCTAATTGTTATTATTGCATTTCCTGTAATCGGTTTGATTCTCTGACTTGTTTCAAAGTCCTTTGAAACGACTACTGTTGTGATTTAAGGCTATACAAAAATACATTGAATTGAATGAATGTATAACAACGCCTATGGTTATACAAGAACTCATGGGCGCTGGGATAACATGGCCATGCCCTGGATGTTCGTCCCAGAACACGCTGTCCAGCCGCATCACAGCAGTGGCCAGCGTGACATCTGGCCATCACATCTGTCTCTGGCACTGACGCACTTATAATGTACAGGCAAATATAACATATGACCACGAACGGGAATGATAGAAATATAAAGCAAAGGTTGTACTGGCTAAAGAACTGGGTCAGAGCATTTTCATAAAGTGAAAAGAGTTTTGTTCTGAGACCAGTGTGACCTGCGACAACACAGTGTGCGGGAAACTTGCAAAAAACAGTATATAAAAACTAGGGCTGTCAAACGATTACAAATTTTAATCAAGTTAATTACAGCTTAAAAATTTATTAATCGTAATTAATCACATTTTGAACTATCGGCAAAATGATGCCATATTTTTCTGTAAATGGTTGTTTGAATGGAAAGATAAATAACAACATACTGTACATTTTTACAGTGTTTGTTTATTATAACAATAAATCCACATAAAATGGCATTAACATTATTAACATTCTGTCTTTCTGTATTAGACAGTATTTTTTCAGCACGACATATTCCGCATCTGCTAAAGCCTCCTCTTTCTTCTTCTTCTCTGTCTCATAAAGGCTATGGATCCTCTTCATTATTATGCCTCTACAAACTATTGTTTGTTACAGGGATGAGAATGGGACATTTGAAAAAAGTCTGAAATGCATTAACTCTGTTTGATTTGCTCACAACATTTTACTTTTGGGCACAACCAACATGAAATGGTAGTGCAAAGGAAAAGTTAGGTACCCCAGCTTTGATTTAGCGAGTTTTGTTGCGCTTCGGGAGAAGACTCGGGGGAGACGGACTGTTTCTTGCAGAGCTGTATTTATTGTGTGCACTGGTCACGCACACAACAAGCAGAGTATGGCCTTGGGTACATGGTCACGTTACAGCTGCGCGCTCCCATGTTGTTGAAAGCCGCTCAAAGCTGCTGGACATGGGAACCTGTCCAAAGCTGCTGCAGAACGCTGCGGACTCCCATTCACAGCAATTGCCCCGTGGTCACGGGCGCGGAGTGCCAGTCATTTGGCTCATGCGTTAAAAACGTTAATTTTTTAAAGATTAATTTAAAAAAATGATTAACGTGCGTTAATGCGATAATTTGGTCAGCTCTAATAAAAACACAATATGATATAATGAATTGCAACCAAAAAAGGAATAGACAGAAAAAAGCCTCTCTCTGGCCTCTCTCTCCAGTCTATTTCTGGTCTCTCTCTGGCCTCTTTATGATCTCTCTTTGGCCTCTCTCTGGACTCTCTCTGGACTCTCTCTGGACTCTCTCTGGACTCTCTCAGATCTCTCTTTGGCCTCTCTCTGGACTCTCTCTGGACTCTCTCTGGTCTTTCTCTGGTATCTCTTTCTCGTTTCTCTCTCATCTCTCTTTCTGTTCTCTCTCTTTTCACTCACAATAAATTCAAATCCTTAATAGACAACCGAGGTTCCTCCCCACTAGTCTAACTAATCTCATCCAGCCAATCTCAGCGGTGATGGTTATGCCATGCCAGAGTAGGAGCTGTTATATGTATTGTGGAAAAATATTTAATTTAGCTTATAGTAGAGGGTCATATAGTCCAAAGACATTAATTTTATTTGCCATGTGCAGTAAAACCACATTGGAATACATGAGCAAAAGTCCCCAGGGTGCACCAGACAAGTACATACATCTAAAAATCTAAAAAGTGCGTTGATGCCATGCTAATTATTTTTACATACTCCTATATAGGCCAGTGGTCATAATGTTTTGCTGTACTCTATGTTCTTGTATGTTCCCACCCAGGCTGTTTCCGTGGGCAGTGCGTTACAAGTGCTGTGTGCTTGTAAGCAGAGGGAAGCATTGATTTTCCGTCGCCTTCCAAGGATAAGCAAAGAATATAAGGCCGCTGTGTGGGTGATCGGCTGCATTGTGTTGTCAAAACAGGGCCGATAAAAGACAAGATCAATAAAATGCGTGTTTCTCTGTGACAATCATTCCGAGTGTGAACAAGCCGTTTCAAATATATGCGTGTGTTTCTGCGTTTTTACAAAATGAGGCTGTGCTCTCGCATTATTCAACGCAGGAATGAGAAAACATCAATACAGCACGGGGCATGGTTAGATAACAAAAACTGTTTACCCCTAGTTTAAAATCAATAAAAACATTAGGATTGAGAGTTTGCTGGATTGTGGGCTACAGCAGAAATAACCTATAGGACATTTTACCTGCAAACAGCTATTCTCTTCTGTATATTTCAACTTAACAAGCTTAAAGGACAACTCGTGTATATATTGTGTTTCTTTCAAACCACAATACAATAGAATCATGTTATACAATCCATTTTCCCTTACTCTCACATCTTTAGATCAGAATTTTCAGATACACAGTGAAGGTCCTCTGCTGAGGGCCGTCCGGTCCCTGCCAGAGCTATGTTTGCATTGCCGGCAGTAAGTCAGACCTGTTCCCGGTTCATCTCTGCTGTTTGCGGACGAGGTTGTCCTGTTGGCTCCAACGAAGGCTGGGATGAGAATCAGCACCTCCAAATCCGAGGCCATGGTGCTCGACCGGAAAAAGGTGCCTTGCCCTCTGCAGGTGGGTGGAGAGGTCCTTCCTCAAGTGGAGGAGTTCAAGTATCTCGGGGTCTTGTTCACGAGTGAGGGAAGGATGGAGCGTGAGATTGACAGGCGGATCGGTGCAGCGTGCGCAGTGATGCGGTCGCTGTATCGGACCGTTGTGGTAAAGAGGGAGCTGAGCCGAAAGGCAAAGCTCTCAATTTACCGGTCAATCTTTGTTCCCTCCCTCACCTATGGTCATGAGCTTTGGGTAGTGACCGAAAGAACGAGATCGCGGATACAAGCGGTCGAAATGAGCTTCCTCCGCAGAGTGGCTGGGCGCTCCCTTAGAGATAGGGTGAGGAGCTCGGTCAGACGGGAGGAGCTCGGAGTAGAGCCGCTGCTTCTCCACGTCGAGAGGAACCAGTTGAGGTGGCTCGGGCATCTGTTCCGGATGCCTCCTGGACGCCTCCCTGGGAAGGTGTTCCGGGCACGTCCCACCGGGAGGAGGCCCCGGGGAAGACCCAGGACATCTCATTACATGTGTCATTCACTCGGCTGTGTGCTGGCGTGGTCGTGGCGTCTCTATGGTGCGTTTTGGCAAACCCGGACATACGGAGCCAGTGGCTTAAATGCCCCTGTCTGTGGGTCATGTGGACCACAACTCATTTGCATGGACATTTATGTGTAGCTTGAAATGTATTTTATTGTGTGTGTGTACCCAAGTGTAAATCTATGTCATCATGAACCTAAGGGAAATACTCATGTATTGTAGATATGGTGTATTATTAGGATGATTGATTTGTAACGTGGGAGGGGCCAGCAGGGTACATAAGGTGTGGTTATCTGCCCGATGGTGGTGGTGACTCATTACAGAGAAAGTAATGTGGACTGCAGGAGCGAGAGTGAAAGCTGAGGAAAAGAGACTTATTGTAGAAGTCATGTATATTTTTATCTGAACGATATCCTTTTCTCCTGTAGACTTTTCACTGTGCTCTGTAAATTCGTTTTTGTACATTTCCCACTGTTTTTTCTACTGAGAGATTTTAATTAAAAACCTCTTAAAACGCCCTTTCCAACCCAGCCATGTGTATGTGAAAAAGAACTGATCACAGTGAAAAAGAGGGTTCCAATCTCCCTCGACCAATCGGCTCTCAAGTCAAAGGGTCAAATAGTGACTCACAGAGATCAAAAGAGAACATGTTTTGTAATAAGTTGAAGACAGCATGTAAAAAAGATACAATAAGATATTCCTTTATTCGCTTTCGAGTTTTAATATAGAAAAAAAAAATCCTCAACTTAAAAACATGGTTCCCTCATCCACAGACAAAGAATTCTCAAATCTAAAAATCAGCAGAAATACCTCTCTCCACCCCTTCTGTCGAAATACTCCTATCTCAAACTTGTGTGGCACTATTACCTATTGCCTTAAAATTCGATTTTGTAGAATGACATTACTTGCAGCCCTTGTTTAGCAGTGTTGTCACATGAATGCATATTGTTTCGACTTCAAAACAATAATTTCACATTTTCAAAACATCAAAAAATTGTTAAGAAGAAATAGTGAATTCTCTCAAGACCATGTTTTAGGAACAGCGAGATAATTGAATCTAGTCTGAAGAGTTGTGTGTAAAGTTCTGTGTACAGGCCCTCTTGTGTGCTCTTGTTTTTAAGGTTAAATTGTGAAACTGTTTGGGTGTGATATGTAAAACCAACAGGAGGGTGTATGTGTGTGTGAGTGTGTGTGTGTGTTAGATACTGTCAGCGGTGTCGATTTTTTTCATTGGAGCGTTCGTTGCCTTTTGTTGTCCTTGTGAACTGAGAGTAATGGCTGTTTGATTCAAGATGAGGCCTGATAAAAGCCGCCAGTCTGAATTCAATTATTCATCCCTATCTCTCTCCTTCTTGTCTTTCTTCTTTAGGCTATGGCGGGCTGGAGCTACTGTTGGTTCTGTGTGGTCTGGACCTGTCTATGCCTTGTCCCAAGCACTGCATCTGCTACACCTCTCCCAGCACCGTGTCCTGCCAGGCTCACAACTTTCACGCCGTCCCTGAGGGCATACCGGCGCAGAGCGAGCGAGTCTTTCTGCAAAACAACAAAATCCAGCGGCTCCTGCGCGGCCACTTCTCCCCCACCACCACCATGCTCTGGCTGTACTCCAACAACATCTCCTACATACAGCCGTCCACCTTCCACGGCTTCGACCGCCTGGAGGAGCTGGACTTGGGGGATAACCGGCACCTCAAGGCCCTGGCCGCGGACACCTTCACCGGGCTGGGGAGGCTTCACGCGCTGCACCTCTACCATTGCGGCCTGATCACTCTTCCCCAGGGGATTTTCGCAGCCCTCCATAATCTCCAGTATCTGTATTTGCAGGTATAGTACACAGATAACCAACCTCTTTATCTCTACTCTGCCGTAGCCACAATCGCATTAAGCCATAATCTGTCCATCAGCCGCTCTCAGCACTTACTGCCTACGAATCGGAAACTGATCAAATTCAGCCGTGGAGCAGGGAAATGCGCATCAGTGTGGTTTTACAACTGCCACTGGGCACTGAGGGAAAGAACAGCAGGATTCAGGCTTTAGTTACCATAATTCCATTAGCTTTATGTGCGGAAAAGCGTGCAGTCATATGCATTCAATATATTGCAAAGGCACGCTTGAGTGGAGTAAAGGTCGAAGCATTAAAATGACAGTATGGGATGCTGTTACAACAGGTCAGACACAACTGGAAAATCTATCTCAGTATTAAACAGACTGAATGAAAGCACGGCCAAAAGACAGTTTACATATGGCTGATGACTAAAAATGATTGTGTAGTGTCTGAGGTCCAGACATTCAAAAATTATGATTATAATCGGTCTCAAAGAAATGTTTAATGCAGATGGAAAATGCTTCGCAATCAGCCGCTTTTCAAACAAAAGAGCCTGGCAGAGAGTTTCATTCCAACACTAAAAAAAACTTTAAACAATTCTGAGAATGTACTGATTGTGAAATGGCAAGAAGGGAATCCACCCCCACACACGTTAATGATCATAACGTGGAATTATTTAGATGTACAGTAATGTTATAATGTTGTTCTCTTTCACAGGACAATCAGCTGGAGTTTCTGGAGGATGACCTGTTCATCGATCTGCTGAACCTCAGCCACCTGTTTCTCCACGGGAATCGTCTGTGGAGCCTCCGACAGAACACCTTTCGAGGACTGGGCGTTTTGGACCGGCTGCTGCTGCACCAGAACAAGATCCAGTGGATTGATCGGCAGGCGTTCCACGACCTGAGGCGGCTCACCACTCTGTTCCTCTTCAACAACTCTCTGACGGAGCTGTCGGGCTCCAGCATGACGCTGCTGCCGGCTCTCGAGTACCTACGACTCAACGATAACCCCTGGGAGTGTGACTGTAAGGCCCTGTCTCTGTGGGACTGGCTGAGGCGCTTCAGAGGCTCCACCTCAGAGCTGCTGTGCTCCTCTCCTCCGGAACTGAGGGGGAAGGACCTGAAGAGTCTGAAGAAAGAGCAGCTTCCCTCCTGCTCGGCTGGAGAAGGACATCCACACCCAGGACATGAGTTGGACCAGGGCGAGTCCCTCAACCATCTCAACCGTCACCGAAACCACCATAACCACCACCAACGGCCCTACCTGCCTCATGGTGACCAGTACAGCCTGCCCTCCCCCTCCCCCCTGCCCCGACCGCCCAAGGGGGCCCGCAGAAACTGTACACGCCGGGGCCGCAAGGCCAAGGGCGGTCTGAACGAGGTGCAGATCCTCAAAGATGACAAAGACTACACTCCAGACGGAGGCAAATATGACCTGTCTCCTTCGGGACGCAGAAAGAACAAGTGCATCCCCAGGACTTCAGTGGGCCCCCCTAGTGGGGTGCAAAGGGTGAATAACCAGGCCCCGGCCCTCGCCTGTCTGTGGCTGCCCCTTCTGCTTTCTCTGCTCTGTGTTCTCTTTCACTGAGGAGCTGTTTCTGCAACAAAGACACTGACCCACACATGTACACGGCACTGTACAAAGACTCTCAAACCTTCTGTTGTGGATTTACTGAGTCATCAACATGTGGAAGTCAGGGACCAACGCTCTCCTGATGTTTGATGATGTCACCATGACAACGACAGGAAACCTCTCTGTGGCACATGTTACTTCAGTGAATCAATGTAATCTTAAAGTGTACAGCCACATAAACTAACAAGCCAATGACTCATCCTGGAAGACAACAGCGGAGATCAGATCCGGCTCACAGATGGCTACGTTCACACCGCAGGTCAACTCAGATGTTTTACCTTAGAAAGCTATCCTTTTATGAGTGTAGGAATCACACTATCAAACACACATCAGGCTTTTTCATGTGGACCTAAATCAGATACTGTACACTGAAATGAAAAGTTTTCAATTTTTTCTCTCCTCATTCTCAAACTCCTCAAAAAGAATTTAGTCTAGAAAATGTTGGCTCCAAGTTAGTTAAAATCCTTGAATTAGTCAAACTGGGGTAGCGCTCAGCAACAGCGAGAAGCCACTGGTGCACATGTGGGTCGCCTCCCTGCCGTGTTCCAATCACAGTCGGCTCAAATGTCTTGTCTGATGTGAAAGAATACATAACAAGTTTAAAATATAACAAAAACAGTGAATTGAGAACCAGATCCTGCGGTGTTAACGCAGCCTCGGTTTAAGCCCTTTTGCTCGTCGACTGCTGAGACAAACACTCATTCATTACTGTCATGTCTGAAGTTAACAAAAACGGGTTTATTATTAACACTAGAACTCCCAGAGCAGTCAAATTGACAGCTTTTAGTTTTGGAAGCCTCGTTAGCTTTGCGACTCTTTCTATTTCCATCCGTAGATTATTTCCGTATAATTATTTTACTTTTGAATTGTTGTTCTAGTTTCTCCATGGTGAAATGTCGGCTTGGTTTTTTCCACCAGAACAGAGCATAGTTGATCGTTACCATAGCAACACATTGTTTCCTGAAAATTGAGTTAGCATGTTAGCAAAGTTAATATTTGGTCAAGTTAGTTGTTTTTCCCTCCGGTACAACGCATGGTTGCTAGTTACCATATCAACAAATTGATTACTGAAAAACTGAATCAGCATGTTAGCTAAGTTTACATTTGATCAATTTTGTGTTTTTTTTTTTTTTCACCTGAATAGAGCATGGTTGCTAGTTACCATAGAAACACACCGTTTACTGAAAATTGAGTTAGCATGTTAGCAATGTTATCTTTTGGTCAATTTAGTTAATTTTCCACCGGAACAAAGCATGGTTGCTAGTTACCATAGCAACATATTGTTTACTGAAAATTGAGTTAGCATGTTAGCAAAGTTAGCATTCGATTAAACTGTCATATTCACCAGTTTTTGACACTTATTAAAAGGGATTAAAGTTAAAATATCTTGTAAACTAACTATTTTGGTGAATTTCTCAGAAGTCTATTGATTTGAATAGGAGCAGTCAAAACGACGGCTCTGGGAGTTCTTGTAGTTTCAGGATTCTGGGACTTCTGGTGTTAAGTCTTTGTCATTGCATTTTACTCTCATGCGCGCCTATAACATCTCGTATTCTGTAAAAAAAAAAAAAAAAAAACTAGAACAAAAAACGTTCACATTCATTTGTCTCCGCTTGTCTCTGCTTTCTGATTGGTCTAAAAGCCATCTTTGCTTATCGCCGTATGAGCCAGCCATTCACGTTTTAAACAGACTATCCAAGCAATCGGGTGAAAGAGAGAGAGCGATGTCGTTGTCGTTCTGTTTGTACAGATGTGTGTGTCCGCAAACGCCGCAGAAGCCATGAACACAGGGAGCCAATGAGGGGGATCCTTTCAGCCTCATTGACGGCCCGAAAAAGGAAAAAGTCAACAAGCTGAGAATATATGGAGTCCAGGGGTGGGCGGAGCTTCATAAATAAGACATCCAATAACGTACATGCACTTTTAGTTTTGCACAGCGAGAGGAAGAGAGAGAGAATAACACAGACGCTGACACCGATACTACTACACAATAAGAGTGTTTTTATTAGTACTTTGTGAAATCCACTCAGACAAACCTAAATATTTCTTCATCCAACTCGTTTTGAAGCAACTGTATTCTTATTTGCCTTGGTCTAAAGCTCAAACGCAGATGCTTGGACTCGCCAAATTTCGTCGTTTAAAGCTGGGGTACCTCTTTTTTTTTTTAACAAACAGAATGAAAGAATGTAATCAGTTTAGTTTCTTGCTCTCAAAACTGTCTTCTATCTCGAGTTTCCCGAAGTATGTTTTTTGGCCTTGGTTGCATCTTCAGATCAGCCTTTTCAGACAGAAAAGTTCAAATCCATCATTATTTAATTGTGTAGCGCAAGTAACTCAAAGGGCTTTACAAGAGCAATTAAATACACAGCACAAAATGCATGAAAACAGATCAAAAAGGCAACACAATTACGTCAACAAATAATGATTTAATACTAAAACAGTGCAGTATAAAAGTATTGGGCTGAAAACTAGTATTAGATATGGGGGTTTAAAAAAGAATAAACAGCACACAATAGAATCAGTTTTATGCACAGCTGAACAAACACATTTTTAACCTAGTTTTCAATATGGTCTGAGTAGAGGCCTGTCTCACAACTTCAGGAAGACTGCTCCATATGTTTGCTGCATACAGTAACTCTGAAATGTATTGTTTTGTTTTTTTTAGAGACAACAAAACAGACAGACACATCCAAATTCAACTAGCCTGGTCGTACCACACCATAGTACAAATTACATTTCGTACTGAGGCCCGGAGGTGCGCCATTGAGCTCCTTGGGAGGGGTTAACTCCTTTTGCAGATTGAAACGATTGGATCTGAGTTTACCGTGACGTATGTAATGCACCCGAGTGAGTCGTTAGCATTTAGCATTTAGCCTAGCCATCTCCTTTGCCGCTAACGGAGCCCGTGGGGAGTAGCGCCACAATTTTTTCCGGCGATTACATTTGCTAAACATTCCTCTTGCTCCTGCTTCAATTTCTTGATAGAACCAGACCGGATTTCTTTTCTATCGCATTTTTCGCCATTACCAAACTAAAACCTGCCCATTCGACACAAACTCTTGACGTCACCCACAACTAACTACAACACCCACCTCCCGCGCTCGCTGGTTGGTCGGTCAAAATTCAACCGATCGTAATCGCAAACACAGGGACCAGACCAAGACGTTACAGGCAGAGAAATGATGATTGAGCGGAGTGTACGGATGGCTAAGACCAGGCTAACTTTCAGCAAGAACACAACATAAAACAAAGACAAGACAATATGAAAAATAAAAACGTACACAAGTACACAAGGTGAAAAGTACATGAACGAACTGAGATTGTTAAATGTTCAATTGAGACTTCATGAGTGTGAGTAGTTGTGGTAAATCTGTCATTTCAGCCATTTCCTCTCAGCCCAAACAAGGCTCTTTCTCACAATCACTCAAAAGATATCACATTTTCTAATCGGATGAAAGTTTATGATTTGACTTTCTGTTGGGAAAACCCAAAAAAAGTTAGGTATCCCAGCTTTAAACATTACGCCATTTCATCATAAGAGCACAGCACATATTAGCAATGTAAAATGATGTTGTTGGAACGAAATATATTTGTGTTTGGATTAAGTTCTGCACAGACTTATTGATTGCATTCACTCGTCTGTGTGTGGGAGAAACTTAATCTACTGTGGTCTGTGACGTACGACATTTGCATTTTTGGTGCCTCTTTACATTGGTCGAAGCCAAACCTTGAACAGAGATTATATACATGTGTCCTTTTCACGATGTGGCAAATTGCTGCAGAGAGCTAAAAATGCAAGGTTTGGTTTTTTGGAAATTGGTATTGTTGTTGTGAAAAGCCAACGTGAAGCTAGCCGACTCATCTTTTGGGTTTTGTGAAAGATACAAGCAAATGGACTTGAATAGGAGCTAGCTGAATACACAGTGAAGGACTGATGGACAGATGGACTTGCAAATCCGTGAGCCCTGATTGGACGATTGGATTGTGATACCGCTGCTGGGAAAAAAAATTGCTTTTGTAACTATCGGGTGGACTTGGTTTTTTGATTTTTTTTTTCCTGTTCTCTGGAAGTCATGCAAAATGGATTCTAAAACACACACTAAGTCATCTCCTGTATTTTTATTTTTTTTATATACAAAGATGTTCTCGTCTTTTCATTGGTCCAGAGCTTTTAACAAACTCGCGCCCAAAGTACTACAAATACTCATCTCGCTATCCCACTCTTCAAAGCCTGCTACAGATTTCTATTTTGAATAAGCTACTCTGGTATGCAAGCGGATACTACAGAAGCACAATAACGATATGATTCCCCGGCCTGTACGTTTCGATGGGGTCCTTTTCTCTCTGTGTATCTTACTTAAGGAAAAGCCTGACTGGTAGGACCGATGCCCCCTACTGGTGACCCGTGTCTGTGCTGCTGAGGTGATGTAAAACCGTGTCTATTTGTTTGTGAGGATTACTTTTATAGAAAATTGAGCACAAAACCACTACAAAAAAAAGAAAATAAGGAGACGTGTATAAGACTGAGTTTTGTCTCCGGAAAATACAAGAGGAGCGTGCTATTTTTTATTTATAACGATCCATTTTTTCCAGTCTTTTTCACTTCCCAGACAAGCCGTTAACAGCACCATAACCTCCACCTCCTGTTTTCTTTCCAAGACTTTATTTCCTCTCAACCTTGTTACACCGGAACACGAACCTGTGTGAACCTTTTATTTTCGTCCCTTTGTGCAACTCCAGTGGTTTGTGAGTGGTTACCAAACGATGCCAGACTCAACAAGCTGTTTCTAAATAACAATAAACAGAAAGTGTCCTGAAAATTCTAGTGTGTGTGTGTGTGGTTTTTTTCTCCCCTCTTGCTTCACAGACACAGGGACAGAAAGACCGCTTTACAAGGAGCAACAACACGATGGAGGAAATGTTTCAATACACAATTTTAGTTTTTTAAAAAGAAAAAGAAAAAATTTCTAAAACTGGATCAATTCCAGATGTCTATAAACACCTCGACACCTTCTCCACTGACTCCCACTGATGACTGCTGTCGTTGTGTCCTTGGGCAAGACACTTAACCCCACTTTGCCCGAAGCCCCCACTGAAAGATCAAGGCTGTGCTCACACTTGCAGAGCAGCCGTCCTCCTGTGGACTTACCACCTGCAGAGGGTCAGTGAGGGGCTGGTGCTATACTGGGTGGCATCTCTGATTGCCACCCCCCTGACCCAGAAATGGATGAATAGATGGATAAACAAAAGGGTTAAGTTAAAGTAGTACTAGAAATGTTAAAAGGTGCCACTTCAAAGCCGTTTTTTTAACATAATTCATCTGAACATGTCAAAATGAACACTCGAAATATTATAAACACATATTGTAGTTATATATTCTGGATAGCAGCATATTAAATTCTAGTACTACTTTAAATACCGTAGTTTTTGGACAATAAGCTTCACAAATTGGTTTCTAGTTCTTTCAACCCTGAATAGCTCATATAGTGATAAGGCGTGGTACTGAATTCAATCAATCAATCAATCAACTTTTACTTGTTAAGCGCCTTTCCTACACAAGGCAACACAAAGCGCATCACAACCCACATCACATCAAGCAAATCATAAACATTAAAATCTACATATACCTAAAAAAACACAAGAAATATTAAAAACAGAGTAAAATCACGAGTAATTAAAAACATTAAAATCACACAGAGGATTGAAATAATAAATAGCCACCGTGCATTAAAAAGATTATTAATTATATAATCCATTTAGTTGTTTGCACAGCTAGACAGAACTGTTTTTAACCTGGATTTGAAAACTGCCAGCCTCACATTTTCAGGAAGATTTTTCTAGATTAAAGCTGCATACTTCTGAAATGCTGCCTCCCCAGAGTTCTGACTCTTGGAACCAGCAGAGCAGAGTTTATGGACTCATTATTTGGACTCCGTTACATGTTAGTAGCTATGGGACACTTGTTTATTGTTTAAATAGATGAAGGTGAATGAGTGATGGAAGCTAACGGTTAAGCTTTGAAACTCCATCATCATTAAATCATTTTATGATCAGTAAAAACAGTCGTCCATCTGCTACATTACAACATGAAAACCTGCGGCTGAAATACAGATGCGGCCTATATATGGACAGAATGGATTTTCTTTTAAAATGGAGGTGGTGCAGCTTACAGAGGTGCGCCTAATTGTCCAGAAAGTATGGTTATTGATCTCTATATCTTTTATATGAATCATTATGAGTTAAACCTGTCATCCTTATTGAGAGAAATAAAATGTTTTTTTATGGGAACACATTTTTATGGGTTCGACATCTTATCATACATGTATGTGTCCGAGGATAACAGGTCAACACAATCATAGTTGACTTTTCTGAACAAAAGTTGAAACTGTGATTTTTTTCTTGATAAAAAATATGCTGTCCCATTGTTAAATCTTGTTATAAGACAGAATCGGCTAAAATTAAGATTATTTTTGCTAAATCTGAGCAATAGTTTGCCTATTTTTCAACATTTTCTGCAGTGTAACCAGGGATTGCATTAATCTGGTATCTCCTTGTGAGTAATGTCTCTGTTCTCTGTTTCTTCAATAAAGAGTAGTAATAATAAAATACAGGATTTACAATGTCTAAATATAAAACAGATCAAAATAGAAGTGCCATGAGCCTCTAGATTGGTTTCTTCTCACCTTGTGCCTGAGGTTATATAAGTGTCCTCTGTCACATGAACGTGGCGTTGCATGTTCTCTTCACCTCTCACTGTGACGACAGGTGCTATGTCTGAACCTGTGCAGGAGACACTCTCATCACAACATGGATCACTCTGTCTGACCACTGTTCTGTAGTCTATTGTACACTGCAAAAAATTTGAGGTAATACATGCTTGAATTGAGCAGTATTTATCCTTTTTTGAGTACATTGTGTCTGTGTTAAATCAAGATTCACCAACGGGACAAAGTATTCTTATAGTCAAGAATCGGTGGTCTATATCCTCATTTCAAGGGAGACATATTGCTTTGTCCCATTGGCAAATCTTGTTTTTAGGCTGTCAAAATGTGCTCAAATTAAACACATTTGGCCAAAGTTGAGCAATTTCGTACAGATTTTTGTCACTTTTTTGCAGAGTAATCATTAAATTTAGATTTTATTTTCTCTAATTTAACAAAATCCTCCTGTGGATCCAATGAGGGACAAAGGCTGTCCCTCATTGGAATGAGGGACAGCCTTTCCCACCAGAAATGGATAAATAAAAGAAGAAGGAGAATAAAAGGAGAAAAATGAATACAATCTTGAACAAAATAAAATGTGTTATTTCTCACTCTTAGTTGTTTGTTTGTTTTCAGATTGGATATGGAGTCTGCAAAAAAGTTGAATTGAATTGAAATTGAATAGAACAAAACGGATTCCTCATGATCATAAGAAAACTGGATTTTTTTTTTAGTAAAAGTTGCAACTTTTCTGATTGGGTTGGCTTGTTTGTTGCCATGGTGATGCTTGGAGTACTCCTCAATATTACATTATATTAGCTAGATAGACAGATACCTTTATTTGCAGACTCAAGGTCCAGATCAACACAGACACAGACAAAAAAACACTAAATAAAATACAATAAATCTTCATATTAATCTTACACATAATTTAGTTAAGAATTTGTCGTCTTCTTTCATCATGAACAAAAACAGTAGAACCTGCATGTCGCTTTGTGAGATCACCTTCTTGTTTCCAGTGCAAACTTATGCATTGAATTATAATTATAATTGGTACAGGGCACAAAAAACAACATTCAGATGACCTCAAGTAGGTGGAAACCTTGCACCAGAAAAACTCATGCGTTACATCAGCCCTCCCCAGTGCTTGGTCTAGGCCTGTAGTGTATTCCCAAATTCAAAACAACATTTTTTATTGAAATCCAATAAAGTAATGATGCCCATTCATCTGCTACAGGAGGGAAAACAGCTCCACAGTCATCAAGATGGATTTTGGGCTGTGCCTTTTGTGTCCTACTTTCAGAGAGAGAGAGAGAGAGAGAGAGAGAGAGAGAGAGAGAGAGAGAGAGAGAGAGAGAGAGAGAGAGAGAGAGAGAGAGAGAGAGAGAGAGAGAGAGAGAGAGAGAGAGAGAGAGAGAGAGAGAGAGAGAGAGAGAGAGAGAGAGAGAGAGAGAGAGAGAGAGAGAGAGAGAGAGAGAGAGATCCAGCTCCTCCTCTCTGTAAAAATTGCATCACATACACACTCTCAACGTCCGCACCTGTCGAGTGACGTTAGCTCCGGAGGCGGCGGTGGCGGAGGGAGGTCAAGGTGAAGGCACTGTGCTTTCTCCGTATCACTCTGTCCACAGCAGGTCTGACAGAGAGAGAGAGAGAGAGAGAGAGAGAGAAAATCATCTGTAAAACTAAGGTGACATTTGGGAGAGAGCATGAACAAATGGAGAGGGGCAGGGGGGGTTCACAGAGGAGAGCGAGGTGTCGAGGAAGAAAGGCATTGTCTCTCTCTCTAGAAGGAAGAGCAGAGTGGGCAGGTGGTGGACAAGAACAGTTTGGTTTTGGGCCATATTTCAGAGGTAATACGTGGTTGTGCAAAGCCATGTATTGCCAATTAAAGGTGGTTTCTATTTTCAAATCACAATGACAACAGACACTACTCTTTGGGCCCATAAACTGTATATCAGGAGTGGACAGAGCCATTTCTTTGCCAAATGTGGAAGAAGCCGATTGGAGCATAAGCTGGAGGCATTTTCCTTATATGGGCATTTCTTCTGCGTATAGCTCCAAAAAAATAAAAAGCCTCCTATTCCTATATATTCCTGGGCTGCCTTGCACGAACTGCACACTTGAAATTTCACCGGAATTCAATGATTATGTTATGAAGTCGTACCACCGCTAACAATGAGTGAAGAAAGCCATGTTTTCATTTTCAACGAAATAAGCACAAAAGCCTGAAGGTGTGGCCTTTCTGTGGGAGGTTTGCATGTCCTCCCTGTGTCTGCATAGGCTTCCTGATCCAGTTCCTTCCTGGTGCTCCGGATTCCTCCAGGGGCTCCAGTTTCACCCAGATGCTCCGGATTCCTCCATGTGCTACGGTTCCCTCCAGGTGCTCCTGTTTCCTCAAGGTGATCCAGTTCCCTCCTGGTGCTCCGGTTTCCTCAAGGTAATCCAGTTCCCTCCTGGTGCTCCGGTTTTCTCCCGGTGCTCCGGTTTCCTCCAGGTGCTCCGGTTTCCTCCAGGTGATCCAGTTCCCTCCTGGTGCTCCGGTTTCCTCAAGGTGATCCAGTTCCCTCCTGGTGCTCCGGTTTCCTCAAGGTGATCCAGTTCCCTCCTGGTGCTCCAGTTCCCTCCAGGTGCTCCGGTTTCCTCTAGGTTTTCCGGTTTCCTCCCAGTGCTCCGGTTTCCTCCTGATCCAGTTCCCTCCTGGTGCTCCAGTTTCCTCAAGGTGATCCAGTTCCCTCCATGTGCTCCAGTTCCCTCCAGGTGCTCCGGTTTCCTCTAGGTTTTCCGGTTTCCTCCATGTGCTCCAGTTCCCTCCAGGTGCTCCGGTTTCCTCCAGGTGCTCCAGTTTCCTCAAGGTGATCCAGTTCCCTCCATGTGCTCCAGTTCCCTCCAGGTGCTCCGGTTTCCTCTAGGTTTTTCGGTTTCCTCCAGGTGCTCCGGTTTCCTCTAGGTGCTCTGGTTTCCCCTACCACTAAAAACATGTACAATAGCCTCCTGTATGACGACCCCGCTCCTATCTCTGTGTGGATTGAGAGACAAATACCCAAAACAAACGTTAAAAGCACTAAAAAAACAATAAAGAAAATAGATTAATATTAAATTAATAAGCTCTAAATAAATAAAGATTATTTACTTAATTTCTGATTTACTAAAATATGGCCCATACATAATCTATGGCTCAGTATGTAAACTTTCAAGCAAAACTACAGGGTAGACATGAAATATTTTGCAACGTCAAGAAAAAAAAAAGAAAAAGTACTGAAATAAGTTACCTGCAGATGTTTGAGGCCAAAATACGAGATATTACTGATGTAAGAGTAATGTAATGTTAGTAATGCCAGATTGAATTACTGGGGTAAAATGACTCCTCCTTCAGCAGTGGGACGGGTTCGGTCTTAGCGGTTTCTAAATGTAGCTAAGACTGAATTTGTAAAACTACGAGTGTTAAATTAAAGAGGACTTCGTGTTTTGAGTCATTTGGAGAAAGTATGAAAAATGAATAAGTTTCTAAATCAGACGCTGCATTCGTCAGAACACATGAATTATGAAGATTCACCGTCACACGCTGCTCCAGAACAAGAGACACGGACTTTAAACAGGTCTCAGATTAAGGTTGAGATTGAGATGCTTTGTTCGTCCCACAGTGGGGAAATGTCAGTGTTGCATCATACAGTAAGTAACAGAGAGTGGGCATAAAGAGCACACAAGAGATAAATGAACGAGAACTCTATATTACAATAAAATATGTAAATTTAGCATCATAAAAAAGAAATTATAAAATCTTGAACCTTAGCAAAATAAAAAAACAAGATTTTATAATTTCTTCTTTATTATGCTAAATTTACATACATTGTTACTATAATATGAATTAAATTTAAGTAATAACTTAAATTTAATTAATATTATAGTAACAATTTAGCTTGTTAGCAGTAGTAGTAGTAGTATTTTTATTTGAGCAGTTTTACAATACACATTAACATGCACAAATAATTCAAGAGAGACAAAAAAAGGCTCAAAAAGAGAAGGCCGAAGCAAAAAGTTTATTTCCCCATTATCAATAAATTGATTTAAGCGGCTGCAAAAATATTTAAATTTTCACAAGAAATTCCTTATTTTTGCCATCATCATTTTTATCTTGTTAATGCAAACAAACAAAAAAGCAGCAATACTTATCAATTTATGTTCCATCCAGTTCATCGCAAAAATAAATGTAATCTTCATTGTTTCTACAACATGTGGTGCATTCAGAGCTGCAGCCCCCTCTGTGTCTGGAACCAGGAAAGGCTTTATGGACCTATTGAAGGGAGGGGTCCTCTACCCAACAGACCCACACCATGTCTACCCTCATTCTCAGTTTGTCAGTGCAGCTGGAGCGATGACACAAGAGGAACTGCCAAACCAGATTTTTGTTGAGATAATTTCTCAAACTGACCTCAGAATGGAGTTCTGGTGATTTTGGTAGAATCAGGAATGATAAGTGACTGAACCAGAGAAAGAAAAGAAAAAGAAAGTGATATGGACATTAGTGTTTGAGCTTGTATTGTTATTTTGTGTCCATTTGATTGATTGATTACATTAATTTGAGCAGAAATTATACATTAAGTATTTAAAAATATTTACAATCCGTAGTTTATGGAGATACTTTAGTACATTGATATGTTGCCTATACGGTGCTTACACTGTATACATACACATACAAGTACATAGCAACATTATTTGCCATAGTTTCACCAAGTGTTGCTATTTTTAAATTTTAAATATGTATATGTGTTGTTTTTTAGTTCTCTGTATAGCCATGAAAGTGAGCATGGAGTAATGGTAGATATTGCTTCTTATCTTTCTGCTTTAGAAGATTAAGAACAGCTTTCAGTATTACAACATGGGGCAGGTGCGGCTTAAACGAAACAAAATTCAGTTTCTTTCTAAAAATGTGAGCCTGCGATTTAATCAGGTGCAGCTTATAGTCCAAAAAGTACAGTACATTTTTCTCCATGATTAGGATTTTTAAAAATAATTTTTATATAGTCTATAATTGTATCACAACTGCTAAAAGGAGTAGTATCATTTCTGAACTCCCCAATCAAAAAAGTTTGGAGATGCTTGCTCTAAAATCATATAAAATAGGCTCCTCCCCTTTGGGACTAGAACCCGGCAGACTGATTCTCATTGGGACTGTCTGGTTCAAAAAGCTCAAATAAAACGTCACAAGTTTCCGTCGGGGCCTTTTTTGTTTGACTAAAAAAGTGACTACTGTGGCAGAGACAAAGTAAAGGGTGATGTGGAGAGCAGAGGAATGTATTTTTGAAGAAGTTAGCGGTGTGTGACAGGCACAAGTGATCCGAGGAGACACATGTGTACAGTGTTCATGATCAAACACAGACCAGAGCAGCACACTCCCTCAGCAGGAGCCAGCCAATACTTAGATATGCCGTCTGTTCCCCTCCCTATAGGCAGTCAACAGCGGGCAAAATTGATTTCTTTCACTCGATCCCCGAAGAGATGAGAGACTCTAGCACGAGAAAAGTAGCAGTAGCAAGAGTAGGAATTATAGGTAAAAAGTATAACACGGTTGATAGATGCGCTGGTAAAAGCAGTCTTTGGAGATGGCTTGCCTTACATTTGGTCTAGTTCTAGTTCTGGCCTTGTTCACATTTGCGGTGTCTGGATCTTCTGCCACCCCCTGTGTCAGCCAAGAGGGCAGTTTAAACTCAGCTTTTCTCTCCAGAGATGAATCGATTTGTGAAGTGCATGCTACACAACCCCCAAATCTCCTCCTCAAGGGCCCCCGCCAGTGTCTAGGCCCTGGGGGAATGTTCTCCAATTCTATTTCAGTTGGAGGGCAGGTGAGCGATACAACTCTATGGGGAGGAAGCAGTTTTTGAAAGAACTTTTGAAAAATAAAAACTCCAATAAAGGTGGATTCGAAAATCCAGTGTATTATTATTATATCATATCATTATATTCAAAATTCCGCAGCCGGAGTCTTGACTAGAACCAGGAAGTACGACTAACCTCCTGCTGGGACTCTGAGGAGCACAGGGACTGGCCTCTTCCTGGGACTCTGAGGAGCACAGGGACTGGCCTCTTACTGGGACTTTGAGGATCACAGGGACTGGCCTCTTACTGGGACTTTGAGGATCACAGGGACTGGCCTCTTACTGGGACTCTGAGGAGCACAGGGACTGGCCTCTTACTGGGACTCTGAGGAGCACAGGGACTGGCCTCTTACTGGGACCCTGAGGAGCACAGGGACTGGCCTCTTACTGGGACTCTGAGTAGCACAGGGACTGGCCTCTTACTGGGACTCTGAGGAGCACAGGGACTGGCCTCTTACTGGGACCCAGAGTCAGGGCAAACATGGGGAGGCGGACGGACCCAAAATACATTACTGCAAAAATAATAACCTAATAAACAATAATCCAAAAACAAAACTCAACTGAATTTTTAAAAAGAGCTGAGGATAAAGAAGAAACAGAAAGAAGCCAGAAATTCCAACAGGGCCATCACCCTCACACACAAGTTGTTTTTTAATTTCTAATTTTTTTATCTACATTGCCACTACGTCTAGACACCTTCACGAGAAAATAATGAGACCGTAGTTAGTGGAACAGTTTCACATGGTTCGGCCCAAGGGACATAAGCTATAAACTAGAACTCAGATCTTTGACAGTTACCCTAGTTACGAGGAAACATTTTTCACCACAAATTTAAACTATATGCTCTTGTGATGTCACATGAACACAGCTTGCAGACATCACATCATTAGCGATCTTCCGAAAGTCTTTGAGGTCTATTTCTGGACATTGATCAACTGCCCCTTATGGACCAATGGCTCTATGTGGCTTTTTATCACTGCAATTTCTGTGTATAAACTGTTTGATTCACTGATCTGTGTTGGCAAATCGACAACTTAGTAAAGTCCTCCGAGGTAGCTACTGTTGTGATTTAGGGCTATACAAGAATAACATGAACTGAAATGAATAGAATATGGCAAAATATCTATAGTCAACATCTAGTGCATGTTCTTTATCTCATTGTCTCTCTCTATCCACGTTGAACTAGTTAGGCCGGGCAAGGCAAGGCAAGTTTATTAGTACTGTATAGCACAATTCCTACACAGGGCAACTCAAAGTGCTGAACAAAACAAGATAGAGACAGTCACACAAGGCATTAAAACCAAAAAGAATCACAGTTTTTTGTTGGTGTCTCCTTCCCTTTTCCATCCTCTTGATCTAAAGCAGTTTTCTTTTGTAAGCTGTAAAACTGGTTGGACGTTTACTCCAGTTTTTTCCACCGGGTCTGCGACAATCGACTCTCCATCACGGACGATCCAGATCAGCCACTGCCTCAATATTCTCTCCCACAGTGAAGGATACAGGATCCTTCCGACACCTCTCTCCCTCTGTCAGAGATATCCTCAAGAAGTGTCACTACCATTTCCTCTGCACACTGTACTTCTCCTTCTGCACATTGTTTATATGATGTTGTCACATCGTACTATTTTTTTCCCTTTCCCTTTCCAAATGTTAGGAAAGAACCACCCTCTCCACTTTTTGAACAAAACTCTCTGGTCTCAACAATGTTTGATAATTAGGAGGACATCATCAATAGTCTTGATGATCCACCCGGAAGGATCATCATAAGGTTAGGTCGGAGTTTGCATGTTCTCCCAATGTCTGCGTAGGTTTCCTCCAGGTGCTCCGGTTTCCTTTGGGTGCTCCGGTTTCCTTCGGGTGCTCCATGCACAGTAGGTATGAATGTAATGAGTGAGTGAGTGAATGGATGGTGTTGATTGGGGCTTTGTAAAGCGCTTTGGGGGACCTTGCTATAAAATGAGCTATATAAATAAAACCTAACCTTACCTTAGAAAATCCTCCATTATACTGTACTTTTAATCCTCCAGGCGCCACGGTCAACTTAAGTCGACAAGCTGCGGTACTGTTTAAAACGGCCGAGTGTGTCCAACTGAGAAAATTAATTCATACTCCCTGCCACTAGTTGGCAGACATGTCAGACTACCTCATTGGCCCCAAAAAAAGTCATGCTCCCATACAAAATATTCTAGCAAGACCGCGTTGAATCAGAGCGGAAAACATAGCGATGCTGGTTCAGCTGCGAGGCAGCCTGCGAGTGTTATACCGCACCATGAACACACACTTTAGACACTTTGTGCTTAAAGGGTTAATATCAACAACTAAATACCTGAACTTTCACTTCAATTAAGTCTATACTCATCCTTGGACAAGTTATGTTATTGTTTAGGTATTGATCCCTGTTTATTCTTGACCATATACTATATATAGATGGACAATGCTAACTTGCTAGCTCAAAGAATTCTAGAAGGGAAGTGGTCATGGGAAAAGTTTTGCTCCACCTCGATTTGTCCTTGATGTATGCAGTGATACTTGACGTCTGCAGTGATACTTGACGTCTGCAGTGATACTTGACGTAAGCAGTGATACTTGACGTCTGCAGTGATACTTGACGTATGCAGTGATACCGTCTGCAGTGATACTTGACGTCTGCAGTGATACTTGACGTATACAGTGATACTTGACGTCTGCAGTGATACTTGACGTCTGCAGTGATACTTGACGTAAGCAGTGATACTTGACGTCTGCAGTGATACTTGACGTATGCAGTGATACCGTCTGCAGTGATACTTGACGTATGCAGTGATACCGTCTGCAGTGATACTTGACGTCTGCAGTGATACTTGACGTCTGCAGTGATACTTGACGTCTGCAGTGATACTTGACGTATACAGTGATACTTGACGTATGCAGTGATACTTGACGTCTGCAGTGATACTTGACGTCTGCAGTGATACTACCGTCTGCAGTGATACTTGACGTCTGCAGTGATACTTGACGTCTGCAGTGATACTTGACGTCTGCAGTGATACTTGACGTCTGCAGTGATACTGTCTGCAGTGATACTTGACGTCTGCAGTGATACTTGACGTATACAGTGATACTTGACGTATACAGTGATACTTGACGTATACAGTGATACTTGACGTATACAGTGATACTTGACGTATACAGTGATACTTGACGTCTGCAGTGATACTTGACGTCTGCAGTGATACTTGACGTCTGCAGTGATACTTGACGTCTGCAGTGATACTTAACGTCTGCAGTGATACTGAACGTCTGCAGTGATACTTGACGTATGCAGTGATACTTGACGTATGCAGTGATATTTGACGTATGCAGTGATACTACCGTCTGCAGTGATACTTGACGTCTGCAGTGATACTTGACGTATGCAGTGATACTTGACGTCTGCAGTGATACTTGACGTCTGCAGTGATACTTGACATATGCAGTGATACCGTCTGCAGTGATACTTGACGTCTGCAGTGATACTTGACATATGCAGTGATACCGTCTGCAGTGATACTTGACGTATGCAGTGATACTTGACGTCTGCAGTGATACTTGACGTATGCAGTGATACTTGACGTCTGCAGTGATACTGAACGTCTGCAGTGATACTTGACGTCTGCAGTGATACTTGACGTCTGCAGTGATACTTGACGTCTGCAGTGATACTTGACGTCTGCAGTGATACTGAACGTATGCAGTGATACTTGACGTATTCAGTGATACTTGACGTCTGCAGTGATACTGAACGTCTGCAGTGATACTGAACGTCTGCAGTGATACTTGACGTATGCAGTGATACTTGACGTCTGCAGTGATACTGAACGTCTGCAGTGATACTGAACGTCTGCAGTGATACTTGACGTATGCAGTGGTACTTGACGTCTATCCAGGACTGAGGCTGTAGACAAAGGGACAGCGGGTGAATAGCAACGAACAGACTACAGCTGAAGCCATAATGACAAGAGGATAGTGCTGTTACCACACTCCTCCAGCAGGGGTCTCTGTGTTTTTTGCCCTAAAGTAGTATTTCTAAGTCTACGATATGCCATATGCTGAACGATGTTTTCTTCCCAGATCCGTGTGGTCCTAAGTGTGTCAGATTTGAAACTGTTTAGTTGATCTTAATATAAATGTATCTCCTTTATTCTGTTGTTGTTCCTCGTATGTCACTGTTCAAGTCTCTGCCATGTCGTACTGTAAACATGATTTTCTCCTGTGCTTTAAATCCATTCTAATTGTTGTATGAGTTTTTTAACAAAAATATGGAATGGATCTGTTTCCGTGAGGCTTGTGTCGAGGTGATGCCAGAAAACTGTAAAAATATGAAATTTAGAAAATAAGTTTAGACACTGACAAACACGCACACACAGTAGTACTCGAGTAGCAGAAGCACATACATAGATTAAAGTAGTACTCGAGTAGCAGTAGCACATGCGTAAACTACAGTTGTTCCCAAGTAGCAGTAGCATATACATAGAGTGCAGTAGTACTCGAGTAGCAGTAGCACATACATAGAGTGCAGTAGTACTCGAGTAGCAGTAGCATATACATAGAGTGCAGTAGTGCTCGAGTTGCAGTAGCATATACATAGAGTGCAGTAGTGCTCGAGTAGCAGTAGCATATACATAGAGTGCAGTAGTACTCGAGTAGCAGTGGCACATACATAGAGTGCAGTAGTACTTGAGTAGCAGTAGCATATACATAGATTACAGTAGTACTACAGTAGTAAGTGTGAGACAGGCTTCTACTCTTCAGATCCAGGTTGAAGACAGTTCTGTTTTCCTGTTCATACGATTGAAGGATTTTATAGTTACTCTTTTTAATGTACTGTGGTTATTTCAATCCTTGTGTGATTTTAATGTTCATGTTTGTAGTGCTCTGTGTGGTCTTTGTGTTGCCTTGTGTAGGAAAAGGGTCTACAAATGAATAAAGATTGATTGATTGAGTAAAAACTGTTGGAGGATTTTTGCATTCACACACTTGCTCTGAATACTCTGCAGGTCTTATATCCTACGAATTTTCATTTTTTACTTTGGAATGCGCTGGAAACGGCAGCAAGACCTAAAAAGCTCTGAAACAGTTTTGTGCTTTACAATCTTGCCTTTTTCTACCTGTAAATGTAGCTGCAGTACAACGTTCATATGTTTTACACTGATCTAGACCAGAGCAGAGACGATCTAAGGTCCCAACCAAGAAGATCAATCAGAAATCCACTGGAGGAATGCCATTTTCTTTTAAATGCCACCAAAGCATTCAGCATTTTATTCTGGACCAGAGCAGAGAAAATGGCCCAAACCAAGCGGCGACCCCACCATTACTGCTGTGACCTAAAGTGCTATTGCATTTTACTATTTACTATTGTTAGCTACTTATTATCTATTTGTTTTGTTTTTCAGGGAAGGATGTGTTTTTGCTGCCAATGGACACCCGAATCTCTCCAACGGGGATCAATAAAGTATCTATCTATCTATCTCTAGTGGTAGAATGATGTCATAGTAAAAACACTCATGATATTAGTCCTCTTCCTTTCACCCATGAATGTTTTGGAGTGATGGGTTGAGCAGCAGAAGCAAAACCAGGGGTGGTTTTGCTTCCTTGGGCTGATCCAGTCTGGCATTAAACCCACCACCTTCTTACAGCCGACATACATGCAAAAAAAAAAAAAAAATAGCGTGTTGCGGCCGTTAATTACCACAGATCCGTGCTCTTCAGATGTGTAAGTCCTGTTTTCCCAGCGTGGTGATTAGCATAAGCACAGTTGAGGCCACCGACACATGAGACAGGCTGCATGTGTCAGTGGCCCGTAGGTCGGATTGAGAGCTGAGACCTGCTCTGGGGCTAAGAGGATTAGGCCTGAACATCAGCCGAGTCCACACTCCAAAGTCATCGGCTTTAAGAAGGACAGTGAGGCTCTCATTGTGTCCGTGTCCCATTGTGCCGTGGCCTACTGCACTTACTGATACTCCCTGCTCCATTTCACCGCTGTCAATTGCGGGAAAGGACACCACAGCTTTTTATAGCTTCTCAGACTTGATTTTTCATGACTTTGAGTTGGTAATCCGAGTTTTAATACCAATAGGCAGATGCTCCGGTTTGGACTGAGGCCACTGAGTGTATTTTTCAGAGATATTAAGAGCGTCCAAAAGGAAGCTTGATTGATTATTCCCTGATGCCAGATGCTGGGAGAGTTCTAACTATGATTTGAATCACAAGCAAAATAGTCAGACAAATACTGATTGGGGGATGAGTCACAACAGCGGAAAGAGCAGCAGGAGACTTTGAGCCAAATCCAGCTGAAAGAAAACCATGGCAAAGGCTCCAAACTGGTTGGTTTTGGACAAAATATCCCAAACTAAGTAATAATAATAATATCCCAAATTATTGTGTCATTAAAGGCGTAAAAACAACACACATAGGATTAAAAGCTAAACATTTTTCCTCAATCAAGATGTTAGATTTGTTCCATCCAGATTAAAACTGGGATAAATTCAACTGCATGGCTGTTGACTGAGGATGTTGAAGCAGGACTGAGGCTGTAGATCCAGGACTGAGGCTGTAGATCCTGAACTGAGGCGGTAGATTCAGGACTGAGGCTGTAGATCCTGAACTGAGGCGGTAGATTCAGGACTGAGGCTGTAGATTCAGGACTGAGGCTGTAGATCCTGAACTGAGGCTGTAGATTCAGGACTGAGGCTGTAGATCCTGAACTGAGGCTGTAGATCCAGGACTGAGGCTGTAGATTCAGGACTGAGGCTGTAGATTCAGGACTGAGGCTGTAGATCCTGAACTGAGGCGGTAGATTCAGGACTGAGGCTGTAGATTCAGGACTGAGGCTGTATATTCAGGACTGAGGCTGTAGATCCAGGACTGAGGCTGTAGATCCTGAACTGAGGCTGTAGATCCAGGACTGAGGCTGTAGATCCTGAACTGAGGCTGTATATTCAGGACTGAGGCTGTAGATCCAGGACTGAGGCTGTAGATTCAGGACTGAGGCTGTAGTTTCAGGACTAAAGAGACTTCCAGGCCCCATCAGTCCTGGTCAGCTGCACTAATTAAGAAAACCTCTGAAACAAAAGAAAGGCCAAAAAACAGTAGCACCTTGTTTGCAGTATCGGCGTCCTCTCCTCTCACATCTGATTACCCGCTTTGATAAGATATTGATCTGTGTATTCAGGAGGAGATTATGAATAACATTAGCAGGTGTGAGCCCAAACAAAATGTACGTCATTCATCATTGTGTTCAGGTTAATACGCCGCTGTTGCCGTGGCGTCCATATGGTGCCAGGCTGACCAGATGATCAATATGTTTTCTCTTGTGTCTAATGGGCTTCTGCCTCGGAGAGAACAGGTGCAGCTCCGAGCCTTGTTGACTACAGCCTGCGTCAAGATTCCCGTCACATTCCACCGAAGCCAAAAGAAGGACAAGATAACTTTTTGCAATTAGCATAACGGACTAATGTAAGTGAAAAAGCCAATGTATAAAAAGTCAGTATTAGGTGAATTGAGGAGTTTATGGAGTGGGAGATTTAAAGTTTGATTTCTTCCCACTCCATTTATAGGATTTTTTTTTATTTTATTTCTTCTTTATTTAACCAGGAAAGATGGAGAACCTCTACACACAATAACATAACATTACAGATCATAAAAACACTTAATTACAGGAAATTACAGATTATATTGTGTCGATGGGGATGTGTCAAGTGCTTTCAATCTGGACTGGATTTAACAGGATTGAGGAAAGGAAAAACCCTGAAATGTATGTATGAACATTTTCAGTTCACAAAATCACAACGGTAGTTAGTTTGGTGGATTTTAAACATTTTTCACCAACACGGATCCGAGAATGCTATGAGACATAAAACACGTAGAGCCATCGGTGAATGACCAATGTCCATAAATGTCCATAAATGTCCATAAATGTCCTTACATGTCCATAAATGTCCTTAAATGTCCTTGTTCATCATATATGTGTTTCTGTCTATTATATCAATGCATTAGAGCATACCTATGGATTTGGCTTCAGTAAATCATTTTGAAGTTTGCTGTTTTTTCTTATCCCATAGCAGTGATGTACAACCATCAATATGATACAGGCTGTTGCCAAAGGGGATAATAAGATAAAATAAGATAAAACTTTATTGATCTCACAATGGAGAAATTTACAAGAGAAGAGAAGCGAGTACAGGCAAAAGTTAGGATAACGTTCTAATTTGTGTAAGTCCATTTATTTCTGTGATTCTCAGCTTACAATGTTAAGAATGATATAGACTCATTACACACAAAGTGACATATGCCAAGCTTGTGTTTGTTTTAGTTTAGATGATTATGGTTTTTAGTCCATTTTTGAAATATTACAATTTTCTGGTTTCTGGTTTTCACTGTGAACCAATTATGAACAGATGTCGGCGCTGCCCAAGGTGGTGGTCGGGGTCCCTTCTGATGGATCACTGTCTTATTTCCCGCAGAACAGTCTAGACAACAGGTTTAATTTTTGTACACCCACTGTCACAAATGAAGCTCCTCCCTCTGGTGGTGGCATAGAGAGTTACAGGCGGAAGGCATTTGTTTACTCTTCATACTTGTTTCACCATATATTTTCTGCTTCTAAGATATAATTTTACATTTTAGAAGTTGAAATGGCAAAGTCAACAATCTCATTATCATTTTTTATGGTACATTTTAAGCATAATATTTATTCTTTAAGGGCATTGTGCGCAAATGTATCCTCTGCATTTGACCTATCCATCCAATGCCACTTTGGAACCCATCTCTAGGTATATTTTAGTTGTGGAGGCAGTAGCAAAGCAGTATATCAAATTTCAATAACCATCCAGCAGCGGAAGCACCACACAGGCATAGCTTTTTGTCTAATTATCAATTTTTAGCGTTGTTTTTACCTATTCCTGCCATGCGTCGCTATAGCATTGGGCCTGATGCAACGATTTTGTCACATTCGAGCCGCTAACAAATGCATGAGTGACGCGCAGAGAGGAACAAAGCTAGCATTACATTCGTCCTGCGTCGTCTCGCTGTGACTTGTTGTGATTGCTGCCTGAGTTGATAATTGCTGCAGGATCCCGGTCTCATCTAGTGCTCAAGACATTTATATTCCTTGTGAATCGCTTTCTTTCTGAGCCTGTTTTCCCCACTGTTTTCTCCCTGGGCCTGTGTGCCACTAATGATGAGAGCGGTATGAAACTTTTATGTTGTTAGTTTTTTCGCTCGCTGAGGTGTCCATAATGGGTAGAATTAGCTTTGGAGCACACTTCCATTGACAATGCTGCATGTTGATGTCCTCGATAAAAATATACTTCTGTACTGGAGATAAAAGAGGTGGAGGTGTCTGTGGATACGCTTTCTGACGTGCTTTTGATTTGATTGTGTGGTGTTTTAGCAGTGGTACAGACAAAGAAAAACAATGGATGAAAACTTGTACAGCATAACTTACTTTAGCTACAGTTAAGGTACAGGTTGATTTATCCCTGTTGAGTAAACGTTGACTGTTTTAAAACAAAGTAAACTGTATATGTTATGAATGTCTGCAGAATCTATGACAGAAGTTGGGCGACAGTGGCTCAGTTGGTAGAGCATTCGCCTGAAGTTCGTGGGATCAAGCCCACCACAAGACCTTCTTCACGACTCAAGATTCAAGATTTAAGATTTAAGATTCAAGATTAATTTATTATGTTCCGTAGGAAATTTGTCTTACATTGCTCCTACATTGAGCAATCTGCTCGATGGCCTGCATTCAGGAGGTTCACAGATATGGATAGGAACAAGTTCTTAGACCGGTTTAGATCTATTTTCTTATTTCTAGTGGGTACTCTAGCAGTGGCCTGATGGGAGGAGCTCATATTGAGAGTGAAGGACATGAGAAGAGTCTGAGGTGATTTTCTTTGCCTGTCTAAAAACCATCTCCGACCACTGATGTCTGCTGTCGTTGTGTCCTTGGGCAAGACACTTAGATAGATAGATAGATAGATAGATACACTATTGATCCCCGTCGGAGAAATTCAGGTGTCCAGTAGAAAAATTAAAAAATAAAATTGATCATTCTAAAACGTTAAAAATAGTAATAATCAGCAACAGCCCTTCAGGTCACAGCAGCAGAGGTGGAGTAGCCTCTGGGTGGAGCAGGACAGGTCACAAGGTGGAGTAACCGCTTGGTTCAGACCATTTTCTCTGCTCTAGTCCAAAGTAAAATGCTAAATGCTTCATTAGCATTTTTCAAAAAGTTAGCATTCCTCCAGTGGATTTTCACCTGATCCGCTTGGTTCGGACCATGAATCCTCTACGCTCCGGTCTGGACCAGTGTAAAACCATGAACACTGTACTGCACCAACATCTCAGGTAGAAAAATACAATGAGAATAGAAATTCAAAAGCACAAAACAACAACTGTTTCAGAGCTACTTAGGACTTGCAGCTGTTTTCCAGTGCATTCAAAAGCTAACCCCACTTTGCCTGATGCTCCCGCTGAAAGATCAAGGAGTTATGTGAATTGGGTGCAGCTCTGACTGCCACCCCCCCGACCCAGAAATGGACTAAGGGGAAGAAGATGGACAGATGAATGGATGGACTATGACACGAGGACTTCAACAAAGCAAGTTTATCTACTGTGAGAAGTAGAAGTCCATTGTTAGTCATCTGTGATTCATTTCACCGTGGATCCTGTGTTCTTCAAATCTACGTGGAGCGCACAAGCTTGGAGTGCTGAGAGTTTTAGGCACAATTTTCAACAACAATGTGGTTTTAGATCAATTTGGCAAGGTCTAATTTAAAGAGGTGAGCTCATAGGCTACAGTACCAACATGCATGCGGGCCTATTGCCACACAGGTATAGACTGTATATAGATGGACAACACTAACTCGCTAGCTCAATGAAGCCCAATAGGAAAGTGCCAATGGATGTTTTGGTCCAAATTTCTCTGGCA